GGCCAACCCCTCCCCTCCGGCGGCGAAAGCTGCTACTGTTAATCCCGTTACCCAGGTAAGTGTTTTATAGTGTTTTATCTCACTTATATGAACGGTTCTAATATTTCTACCAAGGCATTTGTGAAAAGCGTCTATGATTTTGACAACGCTTACCTTGCCCAGCGGAAGGCAGATGTCGAATTGGCAAAGAAGCTGGAAGAGACGGGTTGGGGCCCTGTTGGTCCCACCATAAAGGACACCTTCGTCCGGAGAGATGTAACGGGCCAGCCCATCGGAGAGACAAGAAAGCAACTTGAGATTGGACCTGATGCCCTACAAACCGAGTCTCGGTCTTTGTCTGGGCTCGAGGCTGTCCGTCTTTCCGACTACCCGTTGTCATGGGCCCGTGATCCAAAAAATCCCGTCGCGCACCTCGAACCATTCTTCCGCCGATATGAAGAAGAATTAGAAGGGCCATACACAGATGCTGCCATCAAGAACCGGTTTTTGACGGGGAAGAAGAGCATGGGTGAGCCAAAGTTCCTCACCCGGCTATATCCAAGCCCGGGCCCCTTGAACGACAATGATGCGTCTGTGCCTCAGATAGTTTGCGTCAAGGCAAGCGACGGTGGGATGGAGATGACACCCGTCCCGTTCGACCGCCTGCCTGAAGCACTCTCCCAAGGCTGGGTCACGTTTGATCACCCGGAGCGTCCCATCGACATCGAAGACAAGGACCCGCGAGTAGTTGCGCGGATCGAAGATGTCTTGACAACTGATGCTCCTTATAAGGACACGCCGAGATACTTCAAAGGAGTATCCGCTTTGCTAGGCCCTTCAGCGGGTCAGGGGGAGTGGGAGGCCGGCAGGCTGTTGGGAAAGACATCAGACGAGCAAGGATGCATTTCGCGTGTTACTTCTTTCGTCCCACCTGCCGAATCATCGGCAAACATCTCAACAGCGACCTCGCCAGGCCACGTACACAAGTTCTGGCGCCCAGCGAAGGTTGGCCTCGGTTGGGGTGACTATGACCGCTTCTACGAGTGGCAGTCACATGGTCGGCAGGTCAAGTCGACAATGCCAGAGAAGAAAGAGTGGAGTACCGATCCACAAGCTCCTTTCACTTTCGTCTCGGAGAGTACTGGCCATGAGATTACGGTCAATAATCGGTTGGTGACCTTGGGAGACACCGACGAAACCAACGACGAAGAGAGGGTTGCACCACTTGAGACTCTGTACGATAAACTGAACAGGGCTCGTCAAGGTGCTGCGGCGGGCTTTGGCCCAGGTAATACCTCGCGAGGTCGCGGAGGCAGTGGAGGACGCGGGCGTGGCGGCTTTGGAGACAGTCAGCGAGGCACATGGTAGATTGGTGTGGCATGGTCGAGCGGCGTCAGCTGGGACTCATTTTCTCTTGCACGCGGCGCAAGCTGCGAATTCCCCCCTTCCTCTATTGCGACGCAAGCTGCCATTTTCTTCTCCTGTAGGCGGCGCAAGCTGCCAAATTATTATTTTTTGGAGTTTTTGTAATGTGCCGCTCAAGCTGCACCATTTCCTTATTTTTTCTTTTGTTTGTTTCGAGGCTAGGGCCTCCAAAGAGATAACTCAATGAATATCTCAGCAGCTACTTGTCTGACCTACGGATGTAGCTATCTAGGGACTACAGCTGGACCTCCGCTACGCCCTTGGAGCCTCGTTCGCTGGCGACCGCTTAGGCCGCACCGGCTCGAGCAACCGCGTGTGGGCTACATAGCCAGCGTAAAACCGGGGGTAGACCCTTAGACCCCCCTTTGAGGGCAGCAAAGAAGCCCGTTACCCGTTTGACCCAGCTAGCGATCCAGTGTGGCTAGTATGGCGACGCTTACAGCCACCAGCCATCTACAGATCCAATGAGTTTTGATGGCAACGACGGTAACGATGCTGGCGACGAGATGGAAGTTGTTGAGCACCTTGATGATCCCGTTGGCGACGACAGCGAGGCCAGCACGGCAGACTCTGTTGACGACGAGTCTGACCATTCGCAGGAGGAAGGCCCATGCTTTTTCCCCTCAACTGTTTTTTTTCTCGCTTTTTGGGCATTTCGTTGTGCTGCGGGTGATGCACTAAGGTTCTAACATGCCTTGGAGCGATTGTCGTCGTTGATGCTTTGCGTTACGGCGACCTCCGGGACACGGCATCTCGCACTATGCTCTCGGCTCCTGATCTCAATGTACTTGGCGCCGCCAGCTACGAGGAAATTGTATTCGCCGAGCAGCCAACCGAGTCCCTTGCATTCGTCGAGGCGACCGAGGAGGAGGGGCAACTAGCAACCAGCAACCGCTGCGACCGCCCAGGTTTCCGCTATTCTAACCGAGCTATCGCCAAGACCGCGACCGGATCCTGCCGACCTTTCGACTCTGGTCCTTACGCGTCAGAACAAGTCTATCGACACTACTCTATTCGAGAAAGTCCTCGCGACGTTTGCCGACTTGACCAGCATGAGCCGTCCAGAATGGCTCTCCCTCCGCGAGATACTTTTTCGAATTCGGGACGATAAAGATCGTGTGCCTGAAGTTTTCCAGGCTTTGCTGAAGACTCTGGCGGCACTGAAAGACCGGATGTGGAAGCGAATGTGAATGCCTATGACGGACATGTGAGAAGCTGAGATTCCATTGAATGTCATGAAGTTACCCCTTTGCCACCGAGCCTCAAACCTGAGGAGAAGCGTCGAATCGAAGCGTTAAAGACACTGGTCGAGGCCAAGGCTGCCGCTAGCTCAGCGACACGGGCGGCCAACCACATGGCCAAAGTCAAAGGTAAAGACAGTGATGAGGCCGTGTCTGCACTCCAAAAAGCTCAGCTTGCCAAGGATCAACTGGCACGACTCCAATCCAAACAGTCCGATGCCCCACTACCGGTGGTAAACATGAGGCTCACCTTCTTCGAACCCCCAGGGCGGGTCCGGCGGCATCTACACGTGCTAACGGCTGTGTTTGACAGGGAACTGAACGAATGCCTCACCTTTGGCCCTGGCGACTATGTTCAGTATGTCCGTGATGGCATCATGCGATTTGGACGCGTCGACAGCGTCCTCGTCCTCGACAACTTCCAGGACCGACACATCTTCGTAGTGCTGACACTTGTCCAGCGTACTTTTACTCGGCATCCGCTGCTCGACCTTGAGGTCATGGATAAGCAGGAGGACCATGCCATCCTTGTTGGTACCACTGCCATTGTCCCTGTCTGTCTGTACATGGTTCGCGTCGCCAATGTAGGCACTGTCTGGGTCGCCTGGAAGGTGCCTACACTTTGATCGCATACCAATTGGGAATCGCTAGGACTATACCACCACCATTTTCTTTTATCCATTCGCTCTTCTCCGCCAGCCATCACGGTCGGCATCAGATTCGGTCTTCCTATCCCTGGTGGGCCATCAGGCATCACCATCGGCGTTAGGCATTCCATCGGCACAGGGTCTCGACATCGACATCGGCATCAGGCATCACCAGATCAGCATCAGGCATCATCAGGTATTTAAGCTACATTGGGGGTGCTGCCTTTGTAGTGACAGTGGTGCTGGTAAGGGGTCTTTGGGTTCAGCGCTGAAATTTGGACCAAATCAAAATAATTGTTAAGGATGACAATGCTGATGTAGCGACAAAGACGGTTTCCCCGACAACGACTGTTGATTGGCCAATCCTTGGCTGAGAAACAGGTGTATCATTTGGAGCAGTCACTGCCACCACAACAGTAATACCCGCCTGGGGACACGATAAAAAAAAAAAGGAAAGGAAAACGGTTTCCCTCTTAAAAAGAGGAGAAAAAAGAATGTTGCTAGCACGAGGTGGTTTCGATCCACCGACCTCCGGGTTATGAGCCCGGCGCGCTTCCACTGCGCCATCGTGCTTTTAGCGCGCTTGAACGACTTGTGAGAGGTCGGCCCAATTTGAGATCTATATACGAGATACAAGGGGGGGGGGTAGCTGGTTGGTTAGCCATGTCTGAGAGTTCGGCATATCCCGGGATGGATGTGAGCGGGGAACCGGGGATCGGGATACAGTTGGGGGCTGGGAGGGTTGTTAGCTTGGTACCTGTCAAACAGGGGGCCCGGGAGTATAAGTCAAATGTACAGTTCTAATGCCGGATGAGTGAGAGTTCCAATATTTACATTTTAGCGAGACAAAGAGCAAGTAATCTCCTGAGCTGGTCAGTATTTTCAGTAGAAAAAACCTTCCATTCTCAGGCCGTGCCACCCCGGAACTATCTTTCCCACGCTAACAAACTTTCCAGCCCTCAACTGTACAGAAATCATAAATCCCCGCTTCTACGCTTTCAAAAAAAAAAAAAAAAAAAGGAAAATTACTGAAGTTATTTTCATCAGTGAGATATCGTTATTATTAAATACATGTTCAATTTTAGAAACTCGCATTTAATAGACCTTGCAAGTCTACTAAGCTCCCTTCCTCTAGAATGTCCACAAAGACGTTGCGTGTTGCTTTGAACAAGGGATGCATTCGTTGAGACACTCGAGCTGCTCTTACTCGACTGCACGCCAGCCGCAATGGCGTATATCAGTTCGCTCCAGCCAAAAAAAACATCTCGCGAGTATTCATGAACTCCTTGGCAAAGTTCCAATCTAGATTCAGTGGCGGAAGCGACCCTGCAAACGAGACCCTCGAGGCACGGTCGCCTCCTCATACATGCAAGTCCAACTCGAGGCTGTGCGTCCCGGGCTCGGCCCGAGCACTCTGCACTTGGTTCGCGCCCGCGTATCGGATCCTTATGAAGTGGTCGCAACCTTTGATGGATTTGACCAAGATCTAGTCAGAGCCGCTCAGCACTGCTAGGCCGTGATCTAGGCCCAACTCGGCCATCTTCACCGTCCGTTCCATCTTGTAGTCGGGGCTGGCCATCCTTGTCTAGGGTTGAGGGCTACGCTACTTGCGGGGCCCTGCGCGATTTTGGCCTACCCACATCACATTTTTCACAACTCCTACATGATGTGGGCATTGGCTTGGGAGCTCCCGTCAACAAGCGAGTAAAGCACGATGGCGCAGTGGAAGCGCGCCGGGCTCATAACCCGGAGGTCGGTGGATCGAAACCACCTCGTGCTAACAATCATATTTTTTCCTCCCTGTCAGAGGGAACCCGTTTTCTTTTCTTTTTTTTTATAACCCGGAGGTCGGTGGATCGAACTACCTCGTGCTACGGGTTCTCTTCATATCTTGATCATTCCACTTTTTGACGATATTTTATGATGTGGTATTTCTTATTGAGATGACAATACGTGGCCAAGAGTTATAGCTTTTTGTTGGCCCACTGGGAGCGTATCAATCAATTGGCCAGTAACAGCACCAACAGTGCTCGCTGGCCACATTGTCGATGGCTTCAGGGCAGGTGCGCAAGCCGCGTCTATCTCTTTTGCCAGCGTTAATATTTTAACCGGCTGAAAGGCCAGGCAATAAGAAGGCTGCGAACTATCGTTAGTTTCAACACGTTTCTTGGTACCCCTAAATGATCAAGGGAGCCACCTTAGATCAACCCTTAGGACATTTGGCGGACAAAGAATTGTTGTCTAGTCTTGCAATTTTTCAGAGGCTGGAAATACAATGTCCCCTGAGACGTGACTCCCCTCGGCGTTGGACTATTAATGACATGCATGGCAGACTGGATGATGCCTTGTTCTTTCCATCTGTAGACCGGTTGATGTCGTAAGAAAGGGCACTTGACCAGCACTACAAAGGTTAGAGTGGCAGTGCCGCCTATCTCGTGCGAACCCAGGCAGGTAGCTAGGAGAGGAAGGGAGTAGCGGCCACTATATTTTTGTAGCCTTGGCCATGGTATGATGACTATATTCCTTCACTACGATCCTAGTGATTTACAAGAAGTAGTTCCGCCAGAGGCGATACGGGATGCCCCGATGTCGATGGCAGTGCTGAGTTGGAATGTGGCAATTGCAACACAAGGGCCTGGCTCCACTGATTTCGTGGGGCGGAGTTGCTCCGTGGTCCATTCGTGAATGGCATGTGCTACTCTACAAACCTTCGATAGGTCTATACGCCTGTTTGTCTGTTAGCGTGGGGGTTAAAAGGCCACTGTATTGTAAGAAAAGTAATTGACCCAGATACAGGGGGGGTTATAGGGCCAACGGGGCCAACAAGGAGCCAAATGGGCCAGGAACAAGGGTCAAGGGCCCTATATATTGTACTAAGCTAACAAATCATGCAGGGGGTGAATTGGGAAGGTAGTCTGCGCACAGGAATCACGAGTCCGGCCTATCGAAGGAATCCAGCTCCATCTAGCGATCCCTGTTTCCTCTCGATATCTCTACGCATTCGTCAATGCAGCGGCATGTGATCTGGATGAGTTTACCGATGCTTCGCTGCGCCACGTTGGGCTAACACGCTCGCCAAATCGGACGTCGGCCCAGCAGGGTCGAGTTCACATCCGCGCTAGTGAGGACTTGAGGGTTATTTTTCAAATCTTGCCGTTAATCCCCCCGAGGCTCCCCAAAAAAAATCTCAATCGGAAGACGCCGACGCAGCCTCGCATTGGAGTCCCCATGAGCGGGTATGTATATCTTATCGGCCTGGGGGATACTGCAGCTAAGCTACTAGGGTCCGCAGCCGTTGCATCGATACTTGCCCAACGTCTCCGACCATGGAAGAAGTACCGCCTCCGTCGTACGAGGAAGCTGTTGGGCAGCTTAGTGGCGACGGGGCACGAGGCGCCCCAGCCGGCTCGCCGCCGGTGGTGCCTCCGCCATTTGCAGCACGAGCCATGCCGCTGGACTTTAACGTCTACAGCGAAAGCGCCACTTCGTCGGCAGTCTACTACATGGGGCCACATAAAGTAGCTCCTCAATTCGCCCTGACAATGCGCTATAACAGCCTAGCCAGAGACGCGAAACCCTTCATCATCGTGCATGACGGGTTGACACTGCGGGATCGACCTTTGGCCACCTCGACCAACGTGTCGGCTGGGAGGCATTGGGACAAATTTGTGATCACTGTCCCCTTGCTGGGAGCACAGTCTACGGAGTACACATTGGTAGCGGTTGACCAAGGCACTTACTGGCGTCCTAAAACCTCGATGCGGTATAGCGTCGAAGTGGCATTTCACGGCGGAGAGCGGCAAGAATTCCAGTGGCAGGAGATTGGCCGGCCAGCGGATGGATGGAAGCTGGTGACCGTGGGAGAAGATTCACAGTCCTTGGCGATATGCCTGCCTCATGGGTCCAGCCTGACCAAGTTCTTGAAGGTTTCGTTTCAGGGCAGGGGGCGTACGATAGACTATGGCCCGACCTGGGAAGTTATGGCTGTTATTACCGCACTCACTACATGGTGTCGTTTGACCGAGATGATGAGGGACTAGTGATAGCGAGTCGGGGGAAGGGGGGAGGAGGGGGGGGGGGGGGGGGGGGGGGGGGGGGGGGGGATCAGAGGGAACATTTGCGAAGCTTCGATACGTTTCTTCGTGTCGAAGGCTCTGAGAATAAATGATCTAAGCAAAGTGCTATAACACGTCTACATATCTGATAATTAGGGTTGCGGTAGATGGCTACAGAGCCCTCTTTCTAACAGGTAACCTAGCTTAACTAAAGCGTACGGATACTGCTAGAGGATAGACCTGAAGTGAAGCCTTTCTGGAATCTTATGAATTTCATAACGAGAAGCTTGGGGCAATTCCGGTACTAGATTGCGCGATCATGGTCTACAAAAGAGCTCAGTAGTCTGCACTAGCAAGATCATACCTCTCTACTAAATCTTGAACTATTCATCTTCACTCGAGAACCTAGGCGTGGTAGACACGGCAACCCATGTGAGCGAAATTGCTCCAGCTGAGAGCATATAAGAAGCAGCAATGAGGATATGAATGCTGTTCAGATAGCCTGTCTAGTATATCGCCCCTAACGAGGTGTATAACTTAAGAAACTGATATGGGAATGAGAGAAACTGTGGCGTTTCCCCTAGGCAAGTGGCAAGGAGATTAAGCCGACTTTTGCCAGCGCAAGAGGGTAAAGCTGTGCTTCTCAAACCTATATTTATTTCCCCCCTCTGGTTTCCAGACGCGCTCGGTTATCGTGACCGCGGCATGCTCTTCCGTGTTGGTATCCGCCAAGCTGGATCCTTCCCCACCAACCACGAACACCTGTACCTCGCCAGATGCTGGGTCAATTCCAGTCAGCTCTGTTTCAAAACTTGTACTATCGTCGACGTTGACTACTGCGAGGTTCACCCATCCGCCATCCGTGGCAGCGCTGACATCTAGCTTGGGCACGGTACAGGTGCTCTCAATCCACTCCGGGCTGGTTTTCCCCTTGTAGGCTCCACACTGAACATGAACAGCCAAGCTCTTTCCCCTCATATACTTGGAGAAAAGGAGGAGCGGCCAGTACGTGGTCTGCTTGCATATCCCTACAGGAGATGTCATCAAAGGTGAGATAACGTTCACGCTCTGGGCGACAGTGGCCATGCCAAGTTCATTGCAGTTGCGAATGAATATGTTAAGCCATATCGCCATAGCGAGGGAATCTGAAAGGTTGTAGCACTCCTCAGCACCTTTATTACCTGGCGCTCGCTCGGGGTCCCAGATGTTCCACTCGTCAAAGCAGATCGTCGGCCTCTGCTCTGAGCGAGGGGCTGTGGTGATTCTGCTCACGTCCGGGAATGGGGACAGATCTATTTCGCACCGAGCGAGGTCGATCAGCGCTGATGTTATTTGGATAGCCCTCTCGGCAGCATATGTACTCGAAATGTTGGCGTAGTGCCTAGAGATGGACGTGGGTTAATATAAAACTAGGAACTTCGGTACGAAGGGGGAACAGGACTAACGTTTTCCCCTGGGAGTAGTAATGAATGGAGTGCATATCAACCCAGCGAATGCACTGCTGGAGGACGTAGCGGTCCCAATCCGAACATCCGTCCCGGCCGCATAAGACTAGTTTAATGGACGGGTCCTGAAGCTTTAGAGCTGTATATAGATTTAGCGGGGTGTCATGTTGTCCACGGAAGGGGCGAGTAGGATAATGCGCAGAAAGTCACCGCTGTCGATTTCATGCTTTAATAAGTTGATTGCCTCACCTTTCGCCCACTGAATTGCTTTCTTCGCATAGTCCTCCTTCGTATGCTGCTCGACTTGCCTAAAATCAAGTCAACTCGATTCGCGTCTTGCTAAGTCGATACTGCACTCACCATGGGCCCCACATCTCGTTCCCCAGTGCCCAATACTTTACCCCATAAGGCTTTTCACGGCCATTTTTGCGTCTGAGGTTGGCGTAATACGTGTTCTTATCGCTGTTGCAGTATTCTAGCCAGGCCAGTGCGTCTTCTAGGCTCCCTGTTCCCATGTTGAGGCAGAGATACGGCTCCGCACCAACCTCGTTGCACCATTCCATGAATTCATCAGTGCCGAACTGGTTGGTCTCTTCGCCGTTCCAGGCTAGCTCAGGCCTACAAGGACGGTTTTCCTTGGGCCCGATGCCGTCCTGCCATCGGTATGTCGCCACAAAATTACCGCCCGGGTATCTCACCACAGGCACATCTAATTCCTTCAAACACTTAATGACATCTGTGCGGAATCCATTGGCGTCTACGAGACCGTTCTTGTTTTGGGGCTCATACAATCCGCCGTAAATGCAGCGACCCATATGCCTAGAAATTTTCAGCATCAGCTTAACATTACCCAGTAGAGAGGTTGGACGGGGTGAGCGGACTCGGTAAATCCGCCATAGATTAGAGGGTTAATATCCGCGATTGTATGAGCCACATTGAGCGAGATGGAAGGCAGCTCGGCCTTGTCATCAGGGAGAACAGTGAGGGTTGTCATAATTCGAGTATACTGATCCTGATTCACGGAGGAAGAAAAATATGAAACCACTTGTTGAATCTTCAAAGAGAGGTATTTTGCTGGTCTTTTGCAACATCGCTGGTTGGTTCTTTAAAAATCCGCAGCTACCAACTTCTAAAGAGGCTTCTTGATATATCTGCACCATGTGATGATGCTTTGCCAAGCAAATTAGCCCGACAAGCAAGGCGTTCGGGCCCTTGACCTAGGTGGAGCTTCGCCATCAATAGCTATGGGTCGGGGAATATCGGTGTCGGGGCATATCGGT